AGCTTTCCAAACAATATTGTGAGATCCAAAATTGTGAGGTCGTTAACTTCTTTGATGGCGGTTACCTTCGATTTCCATTCCCTGTTAAGACATCTCAAAATTTTGTTAGTAGCAACATCATTGCCAACTGGCCTACCTAGTGAGTGCAATCTATTGATGAGATGAGTGAATCTGTTTTACATGTCCGTAATGGTTTCCCCTTGCTCCATGTAAAAGAGATCAAACTCTTGTGTTAGCGTATTGATTCTCGCTAGCTTAACAGCATTGGTTCCCTCATGGGCAACTTGCAATGAGTCCCACATAGCTTTTTCCGTTAAACAATGAGAAACCTTATAATATTCATCAACTCCTAATGAGGAGATCAAAATATTTTTGGCTTTCCAATCATAATTATATTTCTTCTTATCATCATCAGTCCATTGTGCTTCGGGCTTAGGCACAACGATGTTATTCTCGTCGGTCATAGTTATTTCAATTGGACTGTTGAGAATAACATTCAACACCTTTCGATCAATGGAATTAATGTGCACCCGCATACAGTCTTTCCAATCACTGCAATTTTCTCCATTAAAAAACATGAGCTCTATTATAGGCCCCTTTAGGTTCGTTAGCCATTTTCTACAAAGTTATACTTGAAGCACGGAGTGAACCGGTGCTCCTGATACCACTTGTTAGACGATGGCATGGATCTAAAAGGGGGGGGGGGGGAGGGGGGTTGAATAGATCCCTTATTTAAAAAATGAGTCGACGCTACCAAGAAAATGGTTTTTAAAATTTTGTTTAATTTGCGGAAGCGGCCGTGGAAAAATTACCGTCTATAACGAACCGTTACTAGAAAGCCGAATATGCGTCTAGTCTTTGTTTAATTTCCTTGTATAATAAACTATTGTACTAGAGTCAATATTAATTCATTACTTACTCAAAACAGTCCTAAATTCAATATAATTGTTTGTACGAAAATCTCGGAAATATTAAGCAAATGTAAAAGCGTAATGTAAAAGGCACAAGGATTTGTTGAGGCAGTTCCCCCGTCGTCCTCGCTTCGGGGTTCGTCTGCCCTCAATTTTAACAATATAATTGAGCTTGTATAATATAAATGTAACATGTTGTTGAATCGTTTATACAAGAATAGAATAACAAATGCATAAACAAACTCCCTTGTTGAAGATGCTTTCTCTTCTTGTCCCTTGATTCGAGTCGAATCAAGTCCTTCAATAGCTTGTGGATGAACCTCCGATTACAACTCTTTGTTTGAACAACCTTACATCTTCAAACCCCAGCCCAGCTGATCTCAAACACTTGCTAATCAAACTCGAACTTCTCCTTCACAATTCACTGATTTCCACTAATAGATCGACAAAATCCACCGCTCCTCGATCACCTTTGCTCAGCTGAATATATGTTGAGAAGATTCGTACCAAAAACCCCCAAATTCAGAGAATCTTGGAGGATAAAACCCTAAAGGTTTTATTCAAGAAAAACCTGTCAAAATCTCAACCCGAACCAGATTCCCAATCAACGGTTTCGGGCGTTATCACTTCAAACAATCCATAATGCACAACAAAGATTATTGTGTGTGATTGCTGTGGTATGAAATGTAGAAGATGAAGATGAAGAGAACTAATTGGCACCTCTTTCACTTTTCTTGTTTTCTAATTTACTCAATTGATATGAAATGAAATGAGCAACTTTCTATTTATATCATGCCAAAAATAACTGACACAACCACTTTTCGAAAAAGATAGACAGACTAAAAATTATGCAGAAAACAGATTATGCAAAATAAACATCTATGCATCGACCGAAACAGGACTATGCGTCGATGCAAAGCCTGCATTTTTTGACAAACAGAAATGCTAATAGTATGCGTAGACCGGTAGGTCGACATGCGCCAACCCGTGGAAAATGCAAGTTAGATACATCTTCTCTGAGTCGACCGGAGCAAAGGTATGGTCGAGTCAAAGACCTGTAATTTGCAAAAATGCCTAATTTGATGTTTTTGACTCTTCTAGCTGCAATTTGTAATACACCAATGATGTTTGACTCATATGACGCTAATTTGATGACACAACATGCAAGCAAATGATACATGAGAGATAAGATATGCTTATGCATTATGGTGATAACATCAAATATCAATTCTTCCATGCGATTGTGTTTTGACATCATCGAAACACACATGTATAGTATATGAGGCTTTGCCCTCACACATCGTCCATCATAAGAGAAGTAAATTCATTGTATCACTTTTTTTGTCTAGGGAACTAACAATGATAGTGTATGTTTGGAGGCCTTTATGTATTTTAAAAGTTTGTTTTGCACTAACTATCATGTTATTGACCCTCGTGCAACCTTAACTTTGTTCTTAACTTTGATTAATTTTGAATTAACTCCTAATACTAGTATTGATATTTTGGTTCTAGTTTAATCACTTTATTTTAATTTTAATTAAACTTTAATTTTATTTAGACTTTAAATTTTATTAGATATTATTAGGATTTAAGTTTGAATTGCCTTCTAATTTTGTTGATTAACTTTTAGGTTTTAGTTTTAGTTAATTGTCAATTAACTTTTGATTTTAGTCTTGTTAAATTTTTTTATAATTTTGATTAAAATTTTGATTCCAGTTGACACTAATTTTGATTAAATCTTAATTTTTAGTTTGATCTTAGTTCTGATTTTGATTGCGATTAATTTTTTATCTTAGTTTCAGTTTGATCTTAGTTCTTGATGAAGTCTTGCAAATTTCCTTGTGGTTCTGTTGCCATGATCTTGATGCATGTCCCGGTTAATTCTTGATTTCGACCCTTGGTACACATTGTGGTTAATTCTTGATGATGCTTGTACATATTTTCCTTGGTGATACTTGCCTCTTGCCATGTAATCAATATTGTTACATGACTTTGACTTTCTCTTTGTGCCCGAATCTTGCTTATGCTTGAACCTTGTTACGTGTTTGATATTTCCCTTATGATTGAGATGCTTCGTGTTTACTTGTTGATGACTTTGTACTCGCATGCTCCCTTAAGGCTCTTAGTCCGACTTAATTTCAGATTAAGCTTGGAGTAGGATAAACATTAGGCTCTCAATCCAAGCATGACGACATTAGGATAAAATTTCCTTTCGCATCCCGCCCTTAGGGCCATTTTGTATGATAACATCTAGGATTCAATTTCCCTTAGACCTTCCGTGCATCTCTCTCTTCTCTTCCTCAAATCAATTTCAAAACAATTAATAAATACGACGTGTAAAGTGCGCCATGAGCCTTTAGTGTGTGTTAAATGATAAGCGGGAGTCTCTCTTTATCTTGTCTAGAGTGTTTTGTGCACGTCTCGTCTTGGGTCGATCGTACAAAGTGCTCTCTCTCTCTTATGCCATAGACTTTAGTACGATACACATCACAAAAAAATTCAATTCACTTCTTCGATAAATCCATAACCTTTTCTCTCGCCCCCGCGCGATCGAGACCATTTCAACTATTCGTAGTCCTGTGAACTACGAATGCTCTGATTACTCATTCCCTAATGATGATATGTAGGCACGAGAATCCCTATCCTTGGCGAGCACACTAACGACTAACTACCCTTTCTTTCGCCCCTGTGTGATCGAGACCAACTAATCAAGCATTTTCTCTCACCCTAGTGCGATCGAGACCAACTAATCAAGCATTTCCTCTCACCCTAGTGCGATCGAGACCATTTCCTAATCCGTGGTTGTATCCACAAACTACGGACGCTCTGACTTCCTCATTCTCGTCCGAATGAGGATACGTAGGCACAAGACGACAAAGTCTTGGCGAACAACCTTCCCACATCACCCGCAGTCCTCCGAACTACGTTGACTCTGACTTTCCCATTGCACAAGAGAATACGTAGGTCTAGGACGGAGAAGTCCTATCAAGTCTCGTTTTATTTTTTTCCTGTCCGTTTCCGTTTAATATAAGAGCTTTAGATAACGCACCCTTCGATTAGAACAACAAGTGTGGATTCCGTTGAGTACAACAGACACAAGGGGGTGCTAATACCTTCCTATCGCCTAATCGACTCCCGAATCCAGAATTTGGTTGCGAGACCATGTCTTTTCCCTTTTAGAGGTTTTCTTCGATCATTTCCTTTCTCCCGTCGAAATAAATAACGTTCGATGACGACTCTTCTGTTTTTTCCGTCGGTTGTTTTTCGCAGTTGTGACAATATGATTGTAAGGCAAGAGGACATTGTACATAGGGTGATCATTAATTTGTGGTGGTGGTTAGATTTTTTAACCAATCTAAAACTAAATGTAGTTTTTATGATTGGTTTAAGTCCCTTTTAGATTTTCTGCTCTAAGTGTATTCGTTTTTAGATGTTTTGGATTGTCATTGGTGTTAGATGTTATAATTCGGCCATGGTAAAGATTGGTCTACTTCTAATATACCGTTTATTAGTGAATTTATTTGCCAATAAAAAAACTCGTGTGAATATTATTTTTAAGTGTCATTCATAAAAGATCTCATAACTGTACGTAAACAATTGAATTTCACTTAACAAATAATATAAAAGTGTCCTTTATTAGAATGTAAATTTTTTTCTTTTCTTTTTTCTCTCATAAAAGAAAGCTCATGTTATATTCGGAAGAAAGATAAAATTGACTCTAAAATCAAGTCTTTAACAAATAATAACATCTAAAGCTTTAATGTAAAAACAAATGAAATAAAGAACAAAGAAAAAAACATAAAAGAATGGTTGTACTATATGTGTGTATGATGACTCTTGTTCTTTTGTACTTTTTGCAGTGTGACTGACTTTTACTTTTCAAAAGTCTTTTGTAGTGTTGTATTAACTTTTAATGCTAACTTTTTTCCTTTGAAAAGTTCTGTCAAATTAAAAGCTTTTCACTTTTTTTACCAAACATTTTCTCTTCTTCTCTTTCTATATCTCATTCATTCTTTCCCTATTCATATATCTATCTATGTGTTTTCAAGCTGTTTAGAACCATCATAGATTTCAACAACAACAACAAAAATGAACAGTGAAGGTGACATGTGTGTTAAAGATTCTAGTATCATGCTCTTTGGTAAGAAGATTCCGGTGCCGGACAATCATATTCCGGTGAGTTCTCAGATGAGTTGTAAGATTCAGGCAAACTCTACAACAATGGTAAATACTCATCATATGTTGCATTATTTTTTTTGAAATTGAATTCGTCTTGTGAAAGAAATTTAACATGAAATTTGTTTCATTTTGATTGTAGCAATAATGAAATTCAACATAGCATGATGATTAATTGCTTATGTTCCTTGATTTTGTTTATAAAACATTTATATATATACACATACCGAACAAAATACTAACCGAAACACGTATATATTGATAATAATATAAGTAAATAAAGGAGTTTGAATGTAATTGCATGTGTCAGTATCATATTAGTATTACGTCAGTTAGAGATATTTATTAGTGTTATGTTGATGGTCTGATTAGGATCACAGAGAATATATTTCATGGTTTTGATTTTGCAGCGATTTTTCTAAGATATACGATTCTATTTAAGATCTAAATTGTTGGAGATTGCGTGAGATTGTAAAATCTTAAAAAATATATAATTTAGATAGAAATCTTGACATTCAAGATTGTTTCATAACTTGTAACTGATTATGGTTTACATTTAATAGAAATCTTGCAGTAACTCAAAGCATAGAGAAATGGATATGCCTCATCCCAGAAACATTGAGAAACCAAAGAGTTCTTCTAATGAAGAAAATGAATCAAAACTTACTACCAACATTGTGGAATCAAGTAGCACAGATCAAGAAAAAGTTCTTAAGAAACCGGACAAGATTGTTCAATGTCCAAGATGCAACAGTTTCGACACGAAATTTTGTTATTTCAACAACTACAATGCCAATCAGCCTCGGCATTTCTGTAGAAACTGTCACAGGTATTGGACCGCCGGGGGAGCAATGAGAAATGTTGCTGTCGGGGCAGGTAGACGGAAGAACAAACACATAGATTCTCGATATCGCCACAAGAGAAATGTTGATACAACTGGTAACAATTTTAGAGAAAACAGAGATGAAGAATCATCGTCATGTGTATCTTCTGTGATAAATGGTTATACTCGAGGAAACGAGTTATCCGAATCCGAACATAATAGGTCAAAATATTTGCAGAGTTACCCTTCATCTTCATGGATGCTTCCTTTGAATCAAAGGTGGAACAATGTTACTTCCATGGTTCAATCATCAATGCAGATGTGTAACATTTTTGGCATTGATCCTAATGCAATGCATTGGTGTCACGCGCCGATTATCGCAGTTACAAACATAGATGTACCTTTTCGTACCAAAGACTCTAAGAATTGAAGAATGAATGTTGAATAAAAGGAAGTACCTTCTCTATTACTGGAAATGCTTTTAAATGCAGTTCTTATGAGGCTATATATTACAAGCACATTTTTTTGATGGCATTTACTTTTGCTTTATCACTTTTCTTTTCTTTCATGTGATTAACCCTTGTGACTAGGCAAAGTTTGTAATATGTTAAAGCCTTGTATCAAGCCTAGCTTTTGAGATAAAAAGATCCCTTTACAGCTTTACTAATCAAAGTAGAGATATTTAGTTGTGGAATACAACCTTTTGTGAGTTATCTCAGGTCAAAAGAGTGATTCAAATAATGCATTTGATGCTATGATTTTGTTGTGACACAATTTGAAAGATGGCATTTAAGATGCAAGCCACTAAACTTATTGATTTTTGGGAATTAAATTGTCACAAAAGTTAGTATAGGGATGAGATTTTTCATATAAAAAAATACACATGGATTATTACATGATAGTCAGAGCACCATATAAGTCGGACGGTCACAGTCCAAAAATGATATTAAAAAAACATTTGAAAAAAATTAATACAAAGATTAATTTGATTCGATTTATTTTTGCAAAAACTAAAAATAATTGTTTGTTTTTCTCCTAAACTAATATGAATTCAGTGTTTTTGGTAAGAGAACAAACTGAATTGATATTGTTATTAATTGACATATATTTGTGATTTTTTTTTCAAATAACTAAAATTTTCAAATTTAATATCCAAATAACTAGTATTTTAAATTATATTCAAAAATATTTATATTTTGATTGGCTATTTAGTATACCTAAATGTTTCGCGACTGCAAGTGCACAGTCTGATCGTGTAATTTTAAAAGATTATCGAACCCAAAAGATCAAGAGTCGATCTACCACTATCTAATGCTACTATGTAAAGCTAAGGCTAATGAATTTCTAACTTTTGGGGTGCGAAAAATAAAATAAGTGCCGAATTAAAATACTAATTAAAATAGGATATTGCTAAATATCGGTATATAATCTTTATCGGTCATCGGGGGTTCGGTAATTCCTGGACGTTTAGTTTTGAGAAAGAATCATTGTTCTGTAGAAAGTACCCATTTAAAAGCCCTTATCTCACACTCTCGTTCTCTTGACTTAGACTATGCTTTTAAATCAAACTGCGGCTCTCGCTCTCTCATTTTGCAGATAAAAACACTTTTTGGAAATGGATAAATCCTAAATAACTTAAAGTGCTCTCGCTGTTTTTAAGCCTAATGTTCTATTTCAGCTATCCGATTAAAACCTCAAACTCTCACTCTATTGATTTTAACCTTTGTTACTTCCTCACTCTCGTGACAAAAGTTATTAATTTTTGGCAAAAGAAACAGAGACCAGAAAACTTTTATTTCATTTAAATTATACGTCACGGTTTAATTAACCCCCTCCGGCCGGTTGCGATTACATACCAATACTACGGGTTTCAGCCAGACATGGCTTTCATTTTTTCACTAAGTTCAATCCTAATACTAACCAGAAGGCAGAAGAAATGCATAAAATTAAAGCAGTAAAATTAAGGCAGATAAAATAAAACCTGGCAATTAGCAGAACATCGATTTGATTTCTTGAAGGCCGACTTGTATTGTCAGTACAAAGTTTACAGCCTTGGTCGAATCAATCCTAAACTAATGGCATAACAATTTGCCTTACAAAGCTTTTGAAACAATACAGAGGAAAGTAAAAGCAAAAAGCAGAAAAAACTAAAATTAAAACTGGAAAAATAATGCGTGAAAGGAAGCCTTGTTCTTCACAAACTGCTTCTTTTTTATACTGTTAGTGGGCTGGCCTTTGGGCTTCAAATTAGGAGAGATTTCCGGAGAGAATGTAGTGGGAAGTTGAGAAAAAATGGGAGACTTCGTGGAGGAAAATTAGAGGAGGAAGTGGCAAGCGTCACTTCCCGTTCAAATAGGGGTGGGAGTTACCACTTCTCCTGATAGTTAGGAGTGGCACTCGCCACCCCTCTCTATATGGCAACCGCCACCTTCCCCTTCATGAAATGGTGGCAGGCGCCACCTCTTCTTAGTGTGGCAGGCGCCACATCTAAGTGGCAAGTGCCACTTGGTAAGTGGTGGCCCCCACACCCTTTTCTTTTCTTTCTCTTTCTTTCCTTCCTCTTTCTTTCTTCTTCTTTTCTTTCCGTGATCTTTTCTTCCTATTTTCTCTCCATTTTTTTCATTTATTTATTCTTTTATACTTTTAGTCCAAATTTAATGTAACCTACAAAACAGAAGAAAACAGCAACGTAAGCAAAAATAAATAAAATAAAACAGTAAAAGAAACAGATAAAATTCATGCAAGTCCAGTCAAATATTCGATATAATTTTGCGCTATCATATTTCAAATAAAAAGGACTACCGCACCTAAGAGGATGCGCCAATGGCGCGACGCATGCAATCAAAATTGACTTCAAACGCCAGGTCTAATGGCATATGCATTGTAGACATGCTAATACTTATGACGCATACATTATTGTCTTTAAAGGATGTGTGGTTCTCTCTTGCACATGCAAACATTTTATTTATTTTTAAATTAAAGTAATAATTAATTAAAAATAAAACAATTGTAAAAAAAATAAGAAAAATACTAATATTATTAAATTTAAATTGAATTACAAGGTGAAAAACTTTGTAAACAAATTTTAACGAAGCATTTGATCATAACGATCACCAGTTCCAAAATCCGGTGATGCCCTTTGCCATTGCGGCTGCACACAATTCTCTAGAGGTGGTTGTTGTCTCTCAAAATTCATCTGAGGTGTTTGGTGACTACTTGGATTCACTTGAGCTATTTAGAGCGAGGTCCTTAGAACATTAGTGTCATCAATGAAATCTAACATCTATTGCCAATTATATTTTACTACAACAACCTCAGTTGTCTCAGATCGTCGATCCGTCACAAGTTTTTTATAAAACTGACGACAATGAACAAGCCAAAGTCGATGTTATTGAAGAGGAAGAAGAAAAAGATGAGACACTGATTGATCATATGGTGAACGATGAGTCTGTAGACCACAAGCAAGAGCCATTACCTTCAAGCCATGTGTATTGTCCGCCTGAGCAGATGACAAACTTGAACTTGGGGGGAAGACAAACCATCCTTAGATATCTCTTACAACCTGTATATGTAGACATAGGGAGCGTTAAAGGTGGGAGACATGTTTCGCACAAAAGAAGAATGTGTGTGAGCTATAAAAAAGTTTCACATGAAAATCTCAGTTGATTATACCGTCGATCACACTGATGCGACGAGGTACATCATTCTAGCGTAATTTGTATGTTCCGCTAGAAGCATCTTACTAGAAGAGAAATGATTCTTGGGAGATAAGTTATATGGATCCACCTCACACTTGCATTATCACCAACCCGATGTAGGATCATCGTAAACTAAGCTCCCAGATAATATGCCAAGAAATATTGCCTCTCATTGACAAGGATCCATCATTGAAGGTGAGTAAAATAATCTCTCATATCGTTACACGATAAAGTTATACTCTCTTATACAAGAAGGAATGGATAACGAAGACTAAGGTTGTTGAGCTAGTATACAGAAATTATGAGGATTCGTACAAAGAACTTCCACAATATTTGGTGGCACTTAAGCATTATGCTCTGGGAGCTGTTGCAATTTTTGAGACACTACCAGCATTTATCCCAAACATAACTTTTGTTGGTGGAAATAGAATATTTCATCTACTCTTCTAGGCGTATGAACCATGCATCAAAAGTTTTGCATTCTGCAAACCTATTATTCAAATTGATGAAATATGGTTGTATGAGAAATATAGAGGAACGTTACTCATTGCAGAGATACAAAATGGAAATAATAATATTTTTCCAATTGTATTTGCTATGATTGTAAGGGGAAACTGTTGGTAGATGAAATTTTCTTCTTCCTCATGTACACAGTTGTAATGGTTACATGTAATGCAACTAGTGTTGTTTTGTTTTTGCGGTTTTATTTCTCTCTCCAGGGTTTATTGTGAAAAAGGTGTTTTAGCCAAAAGTTGTCAAAGGGTGAGATTGAAGGTTCCATGGTTTATGGATTGGCAACAATTTTGCTAAAACATGGTTCACTATAAGATGTCGTGTAAAATGTTGTAACATGCTGCTCAGCTCTCCTTGAGAGAAGATGTCCTAACAGATGTTGGAACATGTTCTACCAGAACATCTATTCTGAGTGTTTTAAATCTTGACAGATTTGGTTTTTTTAACTCTGTGATATTTCTTTTGGATGTATATCAGTAATTTACGCAGGTCAAGAAGATTCTATCAGGAACAAGATTATGTATCTCCAGCTGTACATAAAATGTTAAAATTAGATGATGAGACGTTTTAGGAAACTTTGAAGATTTGTTCCTGTTGTTGTGGAGAAAATTTTACAGAGAGTTTAAAACTGACAAAATGGAAGAGTCCAAGTCCATTCTGCACAAGACTATATAAAGAGACTTACTAAACCTAAAATATTGGTGGAATAATTGTTGAAGAAACCGTGTATGCAAATAAGGGTTTAGGATTTGAGTTTCTTTTAGTGTGTTGTTGTATTGTGTCACTCATGTACCTTTTGATACATTGAGGTAGACTGTTTGTTAGCCATTCATTCATTCTCTAAATGCTTGAATTAGACTGATGTTATTGAGTTGTAATTTTTGTCAATCACTCCTAAGCTTTTAAGCATTGAGAGATTGTGTGTCTTTGAAGGTTGACTTCTTTTGATGTATTGTTATGTTTATCACTACTATTGGCGACTGGTAGGAAGTGAGAGGGAATTCTCATATTTAGGAGTGTTTTAGGTAGAAATTGCATTGGGTAGGTATTAAGTGAGAAATTGTAAATGGGGGAGTTTAGCTTTGAATTGATACTGCTAATAGTGGATTTCCTTCCTGACTTGGTAGTCCCCAGACGTAGGTGTTGTTGTACACCGAATTGAGTTAACAACTCTTTGTGTCTTGTTAGTTTCTGCACTTTTAACTGTGTTATATTTTTT